TCTGACACCGCCTGTGCATCTTTCCTCGGCAGTTCTTACAAGAGTGCCACCATGTTGTGCGCAGGTTACGAGGCAGGTGGCGCTGATGCTTGCCAGGTACTTGATTCCGTTAACAATGTTCAATTCCGATTTCTTTCGTATTTACATGTAAGTCAAATCTAGCACACCCTTCAATCAAGATTTAAAGGGAAAACAGTGTATTCTAACTAAGATAGGAACAAATTAAATATTTAAATTATAAATATTTCAGCAATTGTATATTTGCAGAAGACTTCATTTCATTTACTTTCACATAAATGAAGAGCGTGATCGGGGGGTCGTAAGTTCGAATCCCGGCCGCGACTGACCCAAGTCGATAAAAAGGGTTGCTACAATTCCTTCACCAAGCGTTTGGCACTTTGAAATAAGAGTTGCGCGCTCTTCAGATGACACCTTAAAAACCGAAGCCCCGTCAGGCGTGTGCACAAATGCTAATTTTTTCTAACTATAAGTTATAAAATGGTATCCCTTAAATCACTGTTGACAGGAATACATCCATTGTATTCATTACAAAAATTCACAAAAGCATTAAGTTCTGTTATTCATTTAATTTAGGGAGACTCAGGTGGACCTTTTGTTGCCCAAAGAGGTGGTGTTTGGGAATTGGCTGGTAGGTTTCACTTTTTGATTCGGTAAAATGTTGATGTATTCAAATACTAAAACGATCGGGAAAATGAGCTGTATTTTAGACACTATGGATTCTGAATGTGTTTTTATGTTTTAGGCGTGGTGAGCTGGGGGTATGGATGCGCTAGACCAGAACTTCCCGGAGTTTACGCTGATGTCTGGAATTATGTCAACTGGGTTAAAGCCAACTGGAGCACGTGAACATATACAAAATACTCCAGTAATTAATAAATATGATATTTATACCTTGCTAGAGTGTTACGTGTTTTATAGTAAAGCCATTTTTAACCCTATTAAAGGGGCATGTAGGGGTTCATACACATTGTAACATCACAAATTGAGATATATTCTTTTGGGAATATGCAGATATCATTCTTGAAAAAAAGAACATTTGTTTCTCTCAGGAGCGATAAAGTTAGTAATACGAGTATATTAGCAGAAATAATTGTACAAAAAAAAGATTTAGTACTCTTTACTCTATCTTGAAATCGTATTAGCATTCTCTGAGCATTTCACTGCCTTCAGCTCTGAATCAAAAATATGTAAATATGAAAAGCATCTGAACAGACGAAAACATTTTTCCTATCATTCCAACAAATACCTTTCATGAAGAAAAAAACTTTCGACAAAAAAAAAAGAAAGAAAAAAACACGGAATGCTTACCCCTATAGGCACCTGATCCCACTTCCGGTATTTCAAGGGGTTTGTGTTTTATGTCTTATTTACAATTCAAATTTAGAATTTTTTTCAGATCGACCACTATATTCGTTTTATTCAAATTGTACATTTATATTGAATGGCATTTCATTAACATTCAGCATAAAGCATATAGAGTAGACTTGTTTCTAATATTGTATGTAGTATTGGGTATTGATATGCTTGGTTCAGTAAAATTTCGTAAAAAATAAAATAAATGTAGATAAACAACAATTATTATTATGCTTCCTGTCGGTTTGTCTCTATATAACCCATACCCTACTATTCTCGCATAGTGGTCTAAGGATTTATATAGCGTAAGCATACTATGCCGAAATAGTGCACGGCTTTATTTACTGAATAAAATTCTTCAGTGCACACGCCGGGGATCGAACTCACGAGCATGAGATTGTCAGTCCGATGCCTTATCGATTACGCCACAGAGACGATTAATGATTGGTTGAAATTTATTAAATATATAAACTTAATTTATACAATTGACACAAGAAGGAGAAAATAGACAAATATTATTTGAAAACAGTTAAATTATTCTAAGGAACTTTTGATTAATGTGTACAACAAACTTTCAAACTACATGTAATTACATACAGATCGTTAGATGAACTGATTTCATAGGGTCATTAAAACGCTTTTTATATGACGCTTGATTGAAGGATGTAAAAGAAAATTATCAATGAGAATCGACGTCTGCAAACAAATAAGTCTTACTAACAAAACAGAAAATAAAGATGAGTTGCTTTGGGACAGAAAATCCCGACGTTTTTAGAGAAAATACTAGTAACCAAAATAACTAAGCATGCAAACAATTTTAGCATGAAGATTTCAGGCGCGTAGCTGCCTATACGCAAGTACGCAAGTGCGTACACATCATTTTCAAAAAAAAAAAAAAGAAAGAAGAAAGAATAAAAATGAAAGAGAGAGATTTATTCGGAGAAAAAGAGGCCCTATCTTTCTTTCAAATTATTTTACGTCTGATTGTTTCTATTCAAATTTTTATTCAGAATATCGTTATAATCCAGTGTTTTATAAATTGAATTTCCAAAATTCTTGAGTAAGAAAATATTTTTGAATCAAAATTTTCAACTGTTAATCCGCGTAATCCTGATTATGCCGACAAATACATGTATTTGATGAAGGAAAGCGATCTAAGTGACATTGATCTAAAGATAAAGTTACAAGGGTCTTGGACGACTATACAAGAATATCCTTTGAAGTATACTGCATGAATAAATATCGATAAACAAAAGAGGCAAAATTCAAATTATTGAACAAAGTAAATATAAATATAGATCATTCATGAATATCTTATTTTACTGATGTTACCAGTAATGTTTATAGAATCTAAGTACTCTCACATTGTTTAAGCTAACAGAATATAAAGGTTATCAAAAGACCCACACCCCCGTTTATATTTTGAAATACTTTAACTCCAATGATAACTTATTAAATTACTTCTAAGTTTAATCTTGCCACACTTGGAAACTTTTTTTCCAGTAACAATATATTCGTAAATTAATTTGATCAAATTATCCTTCTCTTCCTGAAGTATACATGGAAGTATTACTTAGCTAAGTGTTTGCTTGAGAAAAGAGAGGTAGCGTGATTTCTTTTAAAGGAAAATGACTGAAAATTTTCGTAAAATTCAGGAGCTTCCGGGGGCTTCGCCCCCTGGCCCCCCACCAGGGCTTCGCCCTGGACCCACTGGGGGCCTCAGGGCGGCCCCCAGACTCCCGACCATTTTCTGCGTACACTTCATTTCAATGCTGCCTACGCGCCTGTGATTTTGAATGAGTTCTTGCAAGTGCGCTGTGTAAGCACCGATATTTTCAGGAAAAAGTCAAATAGATTGCCGCATAAATAATTACAACAGTCAGCATAATAATAACAATAGTGTTGCATTATGCATGTACTATGCCTAAATAGTAGGCAGGGTTTGACACATAGTGCACTCGCCTCAACGGCTCGTGCACCATGTGTCAAACCCTGCCTACTATTTAGGCATAGTACATGCATAATGCAACACTATTATATAAATAGTATCTAGATGGTGCTGTACAATGTTTCAACTTATAATCTTTAGATTTAGCGTGATTAGGTATCTACACTGAAGCTGAGGAAAGGCATGTTTTCTTTCAAGAAATAAATATGGGCTTCTTTGATCAACTAGTATCACAGAGATTAAAACTCTATATCAAACTGTTCGTAAAGGTTAAGACGGTTTGAAGAAATTTGCTAATAGTTACATTTATTTTTTCAGTAAATATTTGTACTAGAACGTTTGTACCTATTTATACTTATTGGTATAGAATTTGAATAAACGAATCATTTTAAAGGGATATAAAAATGAATGACAACTAGATAACACAATTTGTCAATAATTACTAGAGTATATCAATATTTACACATAATCAAGTCTTATAGCTGCTAATGTAATGTAAATCCTTTTAATCATATAAATGAATCTTAACTCATATATATATTTCTTTATTGCAAAGAGATTATTAAAACTACCACAACGATAATATATCCTTTTGAAATTGAATTTGTTTTGTTCCTTGCCAAGTTTTCGAATATTTTAACTTATTCCCATCCTACTATAATTATAGAAGACATATTGACAATTTAAAACGAACAACTCAAACGTCATTGTAGGTCAAAGCCTGCTCTTTATTTGATATAAAAAATCAACATATTATATAGAATTTCACATATATTTTTTTTACTCTAATGGACTCTTCCATATGCTCAAAAATTGATATTGGTACATTTATTAAATAGTTGTTTGAATACAAATATAGCGATAACACCGTCCTGCATACCAGTGTTTCTGTATTCAGTACACGACATATTGTTAAGCAGAAGCATGCTACTGCCAAATGAGGAATCCTCTGTAAAATCAACGTTTTGCAAATCTACGGTCGTTACAATAAAATTATTTGCAAATGGATGCACAAGTACAGCCCATTTTGTATTTTGACTGACATGCTTCATATCAACAGGTAAGCCATATTGTTTTAAACTAATTTTGACTACAGAAGTCTCCCTTTACCTGACCAGCAAGATAGATTCAAAATGGTCAAACTAAACATGCTTCATATCAATAGGTAAGCCACTGTTTTAAGCCAAATTTGACTACGGATCACTCCGTTTACCTGGTTAATACGGAGGGCACCTGACAGGTGTGACTGTTAACGGGATCATTCTTATTCCTCCTAACGATCTTATCCAGTTCTGATGTTTTTGGGATCCGTCTGTTTGCACTTCTTGGATTAATTTCATTTACAAATTAAAACTACCATTTTCATCTCATTTTTAAATATATAAAATAATCAGATAGGAAATGAACTTTTTCTTTAAATCAAATAATTATTCTGACTGATTAGGAATGGAAATATTCTCCAGTTGATATAAAAGGAACAACTCTAAAGTGATCAAATACGTAAAAAATACTTTACTTTAAATTGATTATTAAACTGAAATATTATTATTAATAATCGTGATCAAAGTTAAAATAATCTGATAAAGATAGATAATAGAAATATTTTTTTTTGAAACAAAAACACAATTTATTTTCAGTTAATTTTATCATGCTTTGCGCAGATATATTGGATATATATATATATATCCTCTATCAGTGAATGTCTCTTATTCAATTGTTTAAATTGAAATTAATTATGTTTTCTTCGGTATGGCGATTTATGGATATCCTTTACTATTGTTGGATTGATATGAAAAATGGCCAGTGTTGCAGAAATTTTGTTTGTCCTGCTGTCAATATAAAGAATTGTCATATGAATTGGTCATTCACGACATTTTGAACCATTTTCTTCATCAGTTCGTACCGCTTCGGTGGAGCAAAGTTTTTGGATTGTTCGTATTTGTTTTCTAACTGTGAGACAGTATCTGACACAAGAGAGCACCGACCCTTCAACCCGTTCACCTGATGACGCAATTGTTCAACTTCCGACTCTATCTGTTCTACAGACATATCTGAAATGAGAATGTGTCCAAGATGGTGAAACTAATCAATTTATCTTAATGCTATACTTTATCCTTCTATTAATATGTAAAAGTAATTTATCAGATAAGTTCCTTTAATAGATATGTTACTTTGCTTTAATATTTTTATTCTTTGAAATAAAAACACAACCAACCATCTAAATCTGCCTTTCTCCTTGTTAATTCTAGAGAATAGGACAATTCTTTATAGCCATTGGCAAGGCTTCGAATTCCTGTTATCGAAATAGATCCAGGAACTTTATCTTCATTAAGTTTAAAATGAAGAACTGTTCTTTTAATCATGCCTTTAAGTAAACCATAGCGCCTTAAGGGGTCGAAATCTTTAGATCTCTCATAGTCTTGTTGCAGAGTGTACACGACCTGTCTGACGTGTTTATATTCACGCTGAAGTGAGTTCAGCTCCATACACAGTTGTTCGTGAATTTGCCTGATGTTCTCTTTGTCTTTTCCTCTTTCCTGGTTCAGACTTTTTCCTTCAATACATTATAATAACTTTACTCCTACAATGTATTTGAATGATTACTGATACTCCTCTCAAAAACCAGCTGATTTTAGCCAAATCTTTTAAGTTATTATTATTTCTATTAAGAAAATGTGTCCGCATTCCCAAAATTATTTTTAAGTCCAAGGTTAGGAACTGCATTCATTGTTGTTTTAAAGGGTGTGATCTTGAGATAGTATATATGGTCCACCGACAGGATATCAAATATCTTACAAGAATATGCTGGAAAGTTTTACTTAAATTTTAACTGCTCCAGAACATCAGGAACGATTGCATTCAGTACATAATGAAGAGGTGCATTGTTGAAGATACACATTATTGAGTTTTGTTAACGTTCTTCTAGGATAGGATGGAATCAAAAAGTGGTTTCAAAGTTTTACAAGACAATGATTTATAGAATTTGAAAAATTCAACTAGAAATACAAGATGTTAGTTAATCGTATATCAAAGTAAAAATTTCCCACATACCCTTATTATGTGAATACTTTGTTTTAGAGGAAAAAACTTGAGCTGCATTGTGTAAAATAAAAAAGTTTTAAAAAACATGTGCAGCGGTAAGAAGGTACATGTACTTAGTATTCTGTTTTAGAGTTGCGTAGAAAGATGT